TTTTTTTTTTTTTTTTAAAAAAAGAGCACGTTTAGAAATTGCGTTGTTAATAAAAAAATGATGCGTTTCAAATGGAATTTTCATCAAAAGTAAACAACCTGTTGGATTGGGAAAAGTTCGAATGAACGACCCGAAGAACGATCCGCATTTGAATGATGAAACAAAAGAACCAAGCAATTATTCCGGTTGCGTTCCATCGTTACGATCGTACCGATCACTCGTGACAAGCGCCATTAGAACCCGACAATACTTATTTTTCCATCCACCATGCCACTAAACCTTTCATATTCAATGCGTAGTGTTTACGATGTTGGCTGCCATGTGGGTGGTCGAACAAAAGATTTTTCTCTCTCTCTTTGTGATTCTATATCCAGAAAAATAATAAACATCTTTCAAAAGACCATAATTCTTTTCAATCGCATATTTTCTTTTTATTTTCTAAATTTCTTATATTACGTTTGTTTTATTTCGCGTATACTAGGTATGAAACTTATTGCGATTTTTGTTTTTTTTTTTTTTTCAGATAAATAAAATACTTAATTATGCGATTATTAATATTTTTCACCATGACATGATGATAAATGAACATTGATCAGATACTGACTGACCAATGCACACTTTTGAATTGACCCACTTTCGATTCGACGTATTAAAAATTATAAATATATGAAAATGTATGTGTGTGTGTGTTTAACAAATCAAATATTAGGTTAATCCGGAAACTACTTGTGAATGATATTTTAACGATATTTGGGTCAACTTATTTCTGTAGAAAATTTTTAAATAAATGAAATGAACAAAAATATAAATAAATTCATCTTCTCGTGGATGAATTTTGTAATTTTGTAATTTTGTAAAAAATGATAAAAAAGTTTCAGCTAAATCGAATAGGGTCGTTATATATTGAAAATAATAATAGAAATTACGGTAGTCCCTGAATAGCTCAGGCAGTAGAGACGTTGTCTCTTGTCTACCACGTCAGTGGATCGAATCCCAGTGTGTAGGATAATTTTTCTTGGTGAAGGGCAACTGGGAAAAAAATCATGATCCGAATCAATACGAGACTAAGAAGAAAAATTTCGATAGCGTTAGCTCGTTTTATGCAGCATGCTTTGATTTAGGTTGCAAATAACGAGTAATAAATAAAGTAAGTAATAATTGGAGATTATTTCGGATAATAACAAATGTAATAATATCGTTATTTCACAAACCAAATTTCATTTAAAACGCAATGATAATTATCAGATCAATTAATCATATTAATGATTAATTATCAGATCTAATAATAATCATGCATTAATAAAATTTATGAAACAACAAAAAATAACCCTGACACAAAAATGATACGCAGCAAAAATATAAAAAAACGAAGGATACAAAATAGAAGGGTGACAAAAGAATAGATAACTAATCATTTATATTAAAACATTATGTATACATCGAAACACAATATTTAAGTATCGATATTACTATATATATATATATATATATATCGTGGATGTGTGTGTGATGATAATAATAATAAAATATTTTATATAATAAAACACGACCTCGTGTATATATATATTTATACTTTTTTTTTATTATAACCTTTGTTTGTGCAAATCGATAAAATTTATATTTTACCCTCTGCCCCACGATGACTTTTTACGTCACTATAATAATGTATTCTAATCTTTAAGAATGTTGTAAAAATGAATATACGAAAAACTATTAATTTACCTAATTTATATATGTAACTTTTTTTTAAAAGTAATTTCCTGTGTATTATTTTGCAAACCATTCAAAAGAACAAAAAATAAAACGTGATTTACGTCAATCGTTAAAAATAATCATGAAAATCAAATGAATGGAAAATTTATTTTAATTTTCTTTTGCTTGGTTTTGAATAATTAATTATTATTTATAATGTAATTCACTTAATTTATTAAACATAGAATCATTTCATTTATTAATATACGCATAGCAAGAAACAAAAATTAAACTTTACTTTTTGTTTAGAATTAAACATTAATTATTATTGCATTTCATTTTATTTATTTATTTATTATAGAATAATATTATTTATTAAAATTGTGCGAAAGGTACAATCGAGAATAATACGCATTCGAAAATACTAAAATTACTTTTTTTCCATTATCATAAAATGAAGATTTTTTCTTAAAGACAGGTTTTTCCTTCGCGCGGCTCATTCAATGTTGAATTATACTAAAAAAAAATTATGATTAAGGGTTATTCCGTCTCTTTCTTCTTCTTCTTATTCTTCTTATTCTAAGTTCCCCGAGAATGCAATGGAATTCTACATACCAGACGTAAAAAAAGAAGAAGTCAAAGGTATACGAAAACGAAAACGAAAACGAAAACGAAAACGAAAACGAAACCGAAAACGAACAAGTAAAAGAAGGAGAATAAGAAGAAGAATAAAGAAGAGGGAGAGCATACCGATGGTAATGAAAGGTGGTGGAGGTACAACTCAGTTAACATTCATGTATACAGATATATACAGGTATATTTCTACGGCTTGTGAAGAGATATAAGGCATTGCTCGTAGATACGAAACTTCAGTTTACTCAAAGTTACTCGGACGGATAGAAAGTTGTCAAATCGGTTTGCAATTGGCAATTGGTTTAACCTTAAATCCCTTTTACTTGTCGCTTTTTATATTTTTTTTATACTTTTATATTTTTTCCCTTCGTCTCTCTCTCTCTCTCTCTCTCTCTCTCTTTCTCTCTCATTTTTTATTCTAATTTTATTATTTATTTTTTTATATTTTAAAATTATTGTTTTTCCTCTTTGTCTTTTTTCTCCTTTTTTTCGTTTGGTGAAAGTGACAACAGAAGAAGATTTTCGATAGGATCCGAATCAATTTGCCATTTTTCTAATTTGTTTATTTCCAATTAATTGTTGACAATTTTTTTTTGTTTTATTCAAACAAAAATAGTGCAACAAATATTTACGACGATCGTCGTCCTTGTTGAGTAAAAAGGAAAGTGATACACAATTTTGTTTGCACAAAAAGTACGTGAGCATTGCTTTTAAAAATCTTCCTTCCTTTTTTTTTATTCTTTTTTTTTTTTTTTTATAACTTCTTTGTGTGTGTGTGTGTGCGTGTTTGTTCATTTGGTTGGGTTGTTGAGAAATCGCAAAGAAAAAAGAACCTTGTATCATTAAATCGGTGGTGAAAGAGGCTAAACGTACCAAAATATCAAGTATCCTTTCTCGTATAGCAATCGGCGAGGTAATCTGAACGTTAAAATGAACGACAGTAGTATAGTTGAAGGTCATAAACGGGTTTGCTGTAGTTTTCTCCTTGTGTTTGGTTAATAGCCATTTGGTATACTTCAGAGAACGTGAGAAAAAGAAGAATGATAGTAAGATAGTATAATATTATAAAAAACGAACCTTGACAATTGTATTTCATTATTTTATAGATAATTTTTTTTTTTTAAATGAATAATCTATTACATCGTTATCGTACAATTAATAAATATTATAATATATAATATTCTCTATATATATGTTTCTTCTTCTTTTTTATTTTCTTTTTTTCACATGAATTTTAAATAATTTTAAATAAATCGTAATTGGTTAGACAGATATTTAATATATAATCGATTTATCAAAATAAAACAATAATAAAATAATTAACGATCGAATTAACAATGACTTTAAGTATCAATGACTATATAATTGAACCTAACTAAGACGTTGCGGAATAACTAATATTATCCTAGTTGAAATTAAAAATAATTATATTTGCGTTGTCGTTGTATAAATAATTAAAAAAACCTTGAATATACGATTGATCGTTAAAGTCACGCCCCGTTTAATTTAATTCGCGTAAGGTGCGTGGTCTTTAAAACAGAAAAAAAAAAGAAAAAAGAAAAGAAAAGAAACTGAAATAAAGTATACCACAGGTGTGTATAATTATTTTTTTTCTTTTCTTTTTTTATTATTTCGGGGAATCCTAGCCAGAAGGTTATAACACTTTCGATTTGACATATCAAGGAACTATATCGGATGGTGGTGGGAAAGGGGAGGGTGTTAAGAGAGATCCCATTGAATATAAATTAAATTAAAAAAAAAAAAATATTTATGTGCGCATCTCGAAATAACGACGATGATGATATTTCTTCAAGGATAACCGCTAACATATAATTAACATTATTCCGAAAGCCAAGCGTAGTATTTGTAGGATACCATATGCGAAAAACAACACATGTGCTCATAAGTGATCAAGTGAACAAGGATAAAATTTGCGGTTTAGTATGATTCGGTGTTTCAACCCGTTCGGATGATTTTCTTTCAATCTCGCGTTGCGCAATTTAATTTTGTTTCCTTTTTGTTGGTTTTTTTTTAAATAAAATAAAATAAATTTAATATTCGTTTGAATTTAGCAACAAAAAGTTTCACGATTTGGGTTATAATATAATAAGATACCTGAGATAACGGATTTCAAACTAAAAAGGTGTGTTTCTCCATGATATTTAAATATTAAAAATACATTACTTGTTTTAACTACATCAGCATAAATTTCTAACGATGATCATAAAGGTTGCATAATCTTCACGGTCGCGTATAATATTATCCAAGATTGTCATTTATTTCTTACTTATTATAATAAGTTACTTAGTTCATTTCGTTTAAATTTTATTTTCAATTGAAATTCTTCCATTGATTGATTCACTTTACAAATGTCTTGCGTATGTTATAAGACAATTTTCTTATCAAAGATATCTATGCGTTTAATCGTTTCATATCGCGATAAGAAAACTCTGTGGTTAATTTTTTTAGTTCTCTCTCTCTCTCTCTCTCTCTCTCTCTCTATCTTTTTCTCTTTCTTTCTATTTGTCTTTTATTACATTCTTACATCGTACGTATTAGTGATTACATAACAAAAACAATGAATCGTATATAATTATTAGTTCGTAGAAATTAAATCGTTGAATTTATATACACACTGTGAAAAGGTTGGATCGGGGTATGGTGGGGGTGTATTATCGATCATTTTATTTGTCTTCATCGTATAGAATAAATGTATAATTTTGTTGTTGTAGTTTTTAAATAGAGGAAAGAAAAATAACTAAGAATTAGTAATGAATGATGATTGATCGTATTACATGTGTATTGTCAACATGATTAAAATAGATCGAAGAAAATTTGTAATGGATTAAAAGATAAAAAGAAAAAAAGAAAAAGAAAATAATGTAACTAACTATGTGATATCCGTTTTACGTACGATTCAGTAGTTTATTGTCTCGTTGATGGAAATGTGTTGCGTACACGAGCAGGATGCCTGACTTGACAGCAAATGGTGCTTAAGTAGAAAGAAAGGCTAATATTGATACTGTTGAGAAATAAACAACAAAGCCAATTGATTGGTTGGTTGGTTGCTTGCTTGCTTACTTGGCCTATCCTTGAATTATGAATTTTTTTTTTTCTTTATTATATTTATTTTATACTTCACAATTTTTCTGTGTCCCAGTGTGGACGTTAAGTAAATTTCTTTACACACACACATACATTTCTTTTTTTTTTCAGTTTAAATAAAATTAAATATAAATAAATTAAATTAAATATATATGTATGATATTATCCTGACAGTATTTTTTCATTTAATATTATTTTCGTTAACAATTTTCTTATATACTTTTATTCGTAATTTCGATTAATCATTTGATTGTATATTTGATTGAATTATTATTATATCGTGACAATATTTGTTCACTTTAATATTAATCCCATTAACAAATTGTTCTATATGTTAATTCGTTATAGATATTTTAGTTGATATTTTTGAAAGATCATTATGCACAATAAGATACTAACTCCGAGGATGGTTACAAAGGAAATAAAAACAAAACGCTCAAAAACCGAGAATACAAATAGCTGAACCTGAAAAGAAGAAGGGGTGTCCAGGGAGGGGTGTGGGGATGGAAGGAAGGAAGGGGACAGGGAAAAAAACTCGTTTGACAAGAAACGAATTAAGATCGGAAATAGCAGAAAACAACTTTTGAATTCGCCCAAGTGTAACTCGAATTCATTGAATATTATTCGATTTTACATTAGTATCTTTTTAACGATGACTACCTGCACGAGGTGAATTCCCGCGTTAAGATAAAATAAATTATCGTTAATGCAAAATTTCCTCAATGAATGGATGACGATTAGCATCATCGTTTTTATTACGTGTCGCGATAAAATTCATCGGAATAAACTTGACGATGACACGTCTAGACATCATTTAAAAAAGATACTCAAAATATATTTTTAGGAAATGACATTTCTTTTTTTCTTTTTCTTTATTTTTTGTTGTTGTGGATTTTTCCAACTCTTCTCAACTTTCAAACGATCGGTGTTTTGTTGCCCTCCCCTCCCTCCTCTTCACCTGGCCACCCCACACCCCATCAAAAAAAGGTTTTATTGGCAGTTAAAAAAAAGAAATCTATCTACAAATAGATATATGTATTCCTTCGTTTTTGCTTTTATTATTACTTTTACTTTTACGATTGAGAATTGAATAAACTGAATAATAAATTTACAAAGTTGAATTGGCAAAAAACGTGTAACGTTTAACGTTAATATTTAATTATGTGTTTTTTTTTGCAATGTAAAAACATATTATATATTTTAGATCTTTGTGGAGAAAAAAAAAGAAAAAAAAAAGAATCCAAATTTCATATTGAATCGAAGCGAATCCGACATACAACGAAACGAAAAGTTAACTTAAACGTAAACAAAATGACAGAGATTTTTTTGTATGCGAGTTGCATCAGAGGGTTATTGCAAAATTAATGGACCTTGAAGAAGAAGTAGGAGAAATAGTCGTTTATAAAAGATATTCATCGTTTATATTTATTTTATACGATATCATTAATTGTAAAAAATGTTTAACCTGTCCAACTTCCCTGTGTGACACGTTTATTAATAATTTTATTTTTCGACGTGATAAACAACTAATTGATTAATAATTGTTTTATTATTATTATTATTTTATTTCTTGTTTAATTACAGATGGCACAAATAGTACGAACGATTTACGATAGTTATCGTGATCTGATGGACAATAAAAGCGATCCGAGGGTCAACAATTGGGCAATGATGGGCGGACCATTTCCAACACTTTTCATTTGTTTATTTTACGCATACTTCGTCAAAGTAATTGGGCCAAAAATAATGGAAAATCGCAAACCGTTTGACCTTAAAAATATCATGAAAATTTATAATCTATTCCAAGTGGTATTTTCCTGTTGGTTATTTTACGAGGTAATCAATTCAACAATAATTGGACCGTTTATTTTGAAAGTGGTGTAAATCAATTTTCTGTTGTTTTGAGAAAATTAAAGGTTTGCATATTGGTTTATTTAAAAATATTTATTAATTATATCAAGTTCTTAATATTATATAAGTATTAATATTATCAATTTTTTCAGTTTTGAAGAAATTAAATACTAAATAGAAAATTTACACTAAATTAAGTATAAATTATGTGATATCTTATTTAACAAAAAAATAGACTTACACCAGTTTCAAAATAAACGGTCCACCTATCTTAATTAATCTCTGGAAAAATGATAAATGTATTTATTATACTATATCGTGTAATATAATCTCTGTAAGATAATTGTTTCATCGATTTGATTTGTTTTTCAAAATAAGTGTTTGATGTCCGGCTGGTGGGGCGTTTATTCGTTGAGATGTCAACCGGTCGATTATTCGGACGATCCTATGGCACTTAGAATGGCAAATGGCTGTTGGTGGTATTACTTTTCTAAGTTTACCGAATTAATAGATACAATATTTTTCGTTTTGCGAAAGAAGAACGATCAGATATCAACGTTGCACGTGATTCATCACGGTTGCATGCCAATGTCCGTTTGGTTTGGTGTCAAATTCACCCCAGGTATATTTTATTTCGGAATATCGGATTAACCCTTTGATTGTTGAACGCGATTAAACAATTAAAATTGTTGAAAACTGACTAATGATTTTTATTGTCAATGAAATTAAACTAATTTGTACGAAAGATACAAGAAAAAAAAGTACAGAATTTCGAATCATGGTGGTGATAGGTAGAACCGAAAATAACATTTATAAACGCTTATATGCGTCCTTGATCAACACGTATTGTTATTCTTTGGACGCATATAACCGTCTCATAGCATTCAAAGGGTCAACGATCAATATATAAAACAAATCAAATTTATAGACAATTTGTATTTAATTAAAATTTGTTCTTTTTTTAGGTGGTCACAGTACGTTCTTCGGTCTTTTGAATACGTTTGTTCACATAGTAATGTATTCATATTATTTCCTGGCTGCATTCGGACCAAAAATTCAACCATACTTATGGTGGAAAAAATATTTAACGAGTTTGCAAATGATACAATTTCTTTTCGTAATGATTCACGCATTCCAACTTTTATTCATCGAATGCAATTATCCCAAAGCATTCGTATGGTTGATCGGCATGCACGCGATTATGTTTTATTTCTTGTTCCGTGATTTTTATATCGAGGCATATAAAAAGAGAAATAATATTAATTCGACATTGAAAAGTCATCAACGTAAGGAAATGATTAAAAAGAATGATGAAGAAGAAGAAGATAAGAACAACAAATCAATGAAAAATGGTATTAAGGATAACGATATTATTTATGCTAATCAATACAAAATGGCGACTGGTTATATATCCGACAAGGGCCTGAGAAATCGCGTTTTCATCGACAATCGAGGATTATCCATGGAATGAAACACGAATAAAGGACAAGATATAAAAAAGGGCATTTTAAGGACGTTGATTCATTTGAATTAACGTTGACGCTTAATCCTTGCCCAAAGGATAACCGTTTAAGACTTTTTCATTTGCGAATGCGTGTAGTTAATATGATAAGTGAATGAATGGGGAAAAGGAAAAAGAAAGAATAAAAGAAAGAAAGAAAGAAAGAAAGAGAGAAATAGAATGAAAAGTGAGAAAAGTAAGAAGTAAAATAAGAGAAGGCTTTTCATAATCGAAAGAACAAATTTACAGTGCTTATGCATACAAAGATACAACAATCGCCCCCACCCCCCAAACCCCCTTGAAATACTATTTTTCTACGAAATTAAGAAGAAGAAGAAGAAGAAGAAGAAGAAGAAGAAGAAGAAGAAGAAGAAGAAGAAGAAGCAGAAGAAGAAGAAGAAGAAGATGAAGAAAAAAACCTGCCCAAAAGTGCACCAAAGAAGAAATCTACTTTTTTGTTTTTTTTTTGTTTTTCCTTTCGTAATTTTGCCTTACAATAATTAATAGCTTCTCGCGTTTTGAAAACAAACCGTAAGCGAAATTGCTTTTTTTTTTGTTTTTTATATATATATTATAACGATCTCTGACTTGATATAACATACATCTGTGATAATTAATATTGTCTCGTGCCAATTCATAGTTCTTTTTTTGTTTGTTTGGTTTCTCTTTTCGTTCTTTTTTTTCTTCTTTTTTTTTGTATTTTTTTCTATTACTTACGCCCCTTATCACGAATCGCATTGCCAATGTTTTATGTAAGGGATCAAAAAAAAAAAAAGAAAAGAAACGAAAAGATAGATAATATATAAATCAAAGGGGGTTAAAAAAAATAAGAGAAATTGAAATAAATAATTTATTTTAATCAATGGATCAATGGACACGCTGATGTAACATTGATTTCACCAATTACCTCGTAATAAGGACAAATGAGCGCTGATCATTTTTTTTTTTCTTAGCGATTAAAATAAGTTATTTTATATAGTATATTTGTACTTGCACGTATGATAAGATGTGTATATACATATAGACATAGATAGAAAGAAAGAATATAGAAGGTATTTATTTAATTATTATTCAATTTAACCATTTCCAAAAATTAAAATCCTTCTTTTTCTCATACAATCCCCGTCGATATTACATATTACATACACATACATATAAATTCACTTAAAAATATACTAGAAACTTTTTTATTTTTAATAAATTATGAGAAAAACAAAAAATAGTAATACAATTTCACAATTTTTAAAGCATAAATTTTAAATAGATACGAATTAAAGTACATCAATGTAATATGAAATCTTATAAGAAGAATAAATTGAAATTCAATATACAAAAATATTAATTGAAAATTG